GAAAAGCACAGGCTGAAAAGAGTGGTGTAAGTTGATAGCCAGTGCTCTGCTGCTGCCAATCGCCAAACCTGCACTTGATAGCTGGAGTTGCACCTGCTTCTGCTACCTGAAGCTAACAGCACGAGTTGTTTGAGCACAGCCAGACAACATTTTAATAAAAAACATATGGATCACAGTCATGGAATAACCAGAGATTTCTTTTTCAGCAGTTTTCAAGACTTTGTTGGAGAATGTTTCTTTAAAGTTCTCTGGACTTCGAAGGATCAAGCATGTCCTTTAATCAATCTATACTTTTCAAGATCTAAACATTTCTCATCTTGATTTTAACCATCAGTGTTTCAGTTATGAGAACATCAGGATAGAAAGAACAAGGGGATGGGGAACTGGACTTCATCTGGTATGCCTTTGTTAGTGCTTTGATCTGCTTCAGGAGAATGTTTTTAAGCAACTTTCCTTATGGTTCTAATTGCCACACTTCAGTTGCAGAGTGCTTCTGGAGTGTGTGAAACCAAACCTGTGGATGGACATGCTCCAACTGCTAATCTGCACCCAGACGAAGGCTGCTTCAAAGTAAACACCCACAATGTGGACAGTGTGAATCCCATTCCAACAGCTTCCTGCTGCAGATCCACTGCTAGAGAATACCACAAGATATTAAAGCAGACAAAGACAATCCTGCCAGCCAGTTTTAAACCCCAGATTAAAATTATGAAGATTTGACTAAAATTAAGGTGAACACAGATATTCCTAGGAGTTCCTGAAATGCAGTCATTCTCCTGTACATTCTCCAGTAATTTACCAGATGACCTTGCATTAGTGAAGAGGAATCAGAAAGTGGTTGAACCACCAGGCACACTGCTTTCATTGTCTCACTGGGTGAAATGAAAGAGCAACACAAATGACTGAAAGAAATGGAATACTGAAAATTTATTTTCTACAGCTGTTAAATAACAACAATTAAAAATGAACAGCAGAATCCGCTTGATGCAAATAATTTAACTACCATGCTGTAGAATAAACCTGCTTCCCTTTATTCTGATTTATAATAATTTTTAAACTGGTATTTCTTTTCCATTTACTTGCTTTTATATCTATACATACTGTAATTTGAGTACATATCGACAAAGAGCAAAATAAAACCATCTGAGTAGGACTTAATACTTTTTATTGTTTTCAACAATAGGAATGTGAACAGAAATCTGGATCAAAATCTTGGAAAGCTCATAATATGAGAAATGTATTCTTTCAGTGTTGGCTCTGGTGCTTTTTCACCTGTTGTCTTGGGTAGTTGAAAGAGTCTGTAAGGTAAGTTTAATTTTCATGGCTCAAGCTGTCCTGGAGAAAATGCAGAGGCATGACGTGAAGGTTGAGTTTAAAACTTGGTTTGGCTCCTCTGCTTCCTAGACATCCCAGTGTAATGGGCAGCACTCCAGGGAGCTGTGCTGCTAGAACCTGTGCCCTTGGCTAGACAGACCCCCTGCCCTCTTCTCAAGCATACTCATGTGGGATGAAATTTTCACCAACATGTCTGAAATGAGATTGCCCTTGTGAAGAAAGGGCTGCAAAAAGGCAGCACTTATCCTTTCCCTTCTGATCACTGCTTCTGTATTTTGATACGGTAAAATCTCAGTGCAAGATTGTAACTGCATGTTGGGACATAAGGAATGACTTTGCACACATTAAAACTGTGTGGCCTCTGAGGAGTGCTGAGGGCAGAAAGGATAATTTTTGTTGTTTTGAAGACACAGAGAAATGTGAGTGAAATAAGTTCATGCCTTCTGGCAGTTGATGCACAATCCCATCCTTCAGCAGAGAGCTAAGGAAGTAGGGCAAAGACTGTGGAAACTACAGCATTTAGGGGACAGCATTTGTGGTCTGGCAGTTCATTAAGCATCTGGTAACCTATCTGATAATGGATTATCAAGCTGGAGATGAAGTCAGCAGGGCTTAATCAGACAACTAGCATCCAGTCCAGTTCCCCAGTGAGTGAGCAATGAGCGATGTAAAGTCCAGACTATGGAGCCTGTTTCCCTGTGTGTCAGTATGGAGGGGCAGGCATTAGAGCTGGACTGCCTTCAGCCAACATCAGTGTCAGGGTGTTTCTCCTGTCTCTGAGAGAGAAAGGGAGGCCAAGGCACGACAAGCTGGGAGGGAAGGGGCTTGCCCTGCTGCCTTTGATGTAAAATGTACGTAAGTACATCTAATGCATAACACAGCCCAACACTGGGACAACTCTGCAGAAAGCAGCATCTGATTTAGAGCAACGTTGCCCCTTCTCTGCCCTCCTGTGGCAAAGGAAACCCCCTCTGAGATGCAAGGGTCACAGGGCTTTGCGCAGGAGCCTGCAAATCCCACTGCACACCTCAGGAAGCATTTCAGAACCATCTTTAATCTTAATAAACAGGGTAGAATGGCACTAGCTGAGTACTTAGTGGATCTGAGGGCTAGCGCCAAACTGCGATCCCTCCCGCTGAAGCCTAGGGGAACGCTTGCTGAATGTTGCTGCACTGCACATCTGATCTCCCATTTCTCCAGGGTCTCTCTCCCATGCTGAGAGGCTCAACAAAGCTTAAACAGATACTGTAGCCCTGCAGCTCCAATGATGATGGATCACTGCTTCAGGGAGAAGGTACTTCACACCACAGACCTTACCTTAGTACAGGCAGGGTAAGTAACCTGAGCAGCAATTGTTTCAGAGGCGCGATTTCCAGCTCACTAAAGTCAATTTAAAGGCTCATTACATTTGATTGCCTTTGGATAACTCTTCAAGTGTGAACATGTTTTTAGATGCTTTAAACAGCTTTTCAAGCTGACAGTTCATGGGAATGCATCGCTGGTACCAACACCACGCTGGGCCAAGGGCTGAACATCAGCATCTTGGCATGGCTCCCGGGAAAGAGGGAGCTCACACCACCCATCGAGTCAGATCCCTCACTCCAGCAGCAGCTGCAAAGCATTACCCATCAGGAAGGCCATTCAAACAGCCAGATTTGACTCTGGTGGCCAAATGCTGAGGCTTGCTCCTCCTATGTTGTCACAGCAAGTAACACCGTGTGCCTGTCAAGCTACCTGTGCCAGCTTTGGACACTGCAGCAGGGTGCCATCGCTTACACACAGCAAAGCTGCTCTTCCTTTAATATTGCTGTTGGTTTTGGGGGGAACAGGGCTGGGGTGGAAGAAGTGTGGGATTGGGAAATCTCTCTGCTCAGAAAGCCAGTTTTGAGAAAGATAGCAGCCTACTTCATAACAATGGAGCACAGGCTAATTTTGCTTTCACACCCACAAGGCAGGTTAAAGGGCATGCAGGGTTAGGCTCCTTAGGGGAGAGTTGATTTCAGTCTAATAGTCCACTGCCTAAACCTTTCTTCTCTTACACCAACCTCCATGGGAAGCATCTCCTTTTTTCTTGTTTCTGCCCACTAGCATTCCCCTGGTCTTTGCAAAGTCCCCAGAGAGACAGTTATCCTAACAAATGGCAAGAAAAGTCTTAGTCATCCACAAAGGCCTGAGCTCTGCTTCTGCTTTTAATTGGAGTTCCCACCCAACTCTGAATACGTACAGCAAAATCTAATGGCAAATTTGTGATGTCTGGTTTTAAAACACAACAAAAAAGCCCATCATGTTTTTTGTAGTTCACTGTTACTGCTCTCTACAATTCTCTGAAAGGAGGTTGTAGCAAGGTGGGAGTTAGTTGGCGCCTTCTCCCAGGTAAAAAGTGACAGGATCAGAGGAAATGGCCTCAAGTTGTGCCAGGGGAGATTTAGATTTGATATGAGGGAAAATTTCTTCACTAAAAGAGTGGTCAGGCATGGGAAGAGGTATCCCAGGGAAGCAGTGGAATCACTGTCCTTGGAGGTGTTCAAAAGGTGTGTGGATGTGGCAGTTAAGGGGTATGGTTTAGTGGTGAACACAGTGGTGTTACATTAATGGTTGGACTTAATTATTTTAGAGGTCTTTCCAATGTAAATGATTCTATAAGATTCCCTGTGAATCACCAGATATTGTCAAGCCATTTTAACTTTTTGTTCCCAGAACAGGTATTAATCAAATAATTTTGTTGTTTTCTGGTGTTGTTCATAATTTATTTTGAGCTTGCCATAGTATTATTGTCAATGTATTTACATTCAAAAATTTTAATAAAGGAAAGGATGACTATGGAAAGGATGCATAATTCAACAGTTCTCTCACTGCTTTTGAGAGGTAACATGCTGGGGTAACATTTCTGTGAGGACTAAAATCTGATCACCTGTTTTCTTTGCCCTCCCTGTAGCATGCCTTTTGTACTAATTTCCTGCAAATATTTGTACATTGTTTTCTTGATATAAACATTGACAGTAAGAAAATATCAAAGTCTTGAATGATGAAAATGTCTCCTCAATTTTAAATTCACTCAAATATTCAGCATCAATTGTTTGCACTTTCATGCAACCAGCTAAAACACCCCCCACCATATGAGCTATTTGAGCAACACCTACAAATCAACAAAGTTCACTGATGACTATCAGAAAAATGATGAAAACTGCCCACAGATTGAGCTTTGTGCTTTCTAGATGGGAAATGCTTTCTAGATGGGAAATGATTCACTAATAAGGGCAGATGGTTGAGGGTGCTGGACAGTGGATACTTCAGTATCTCACAGTCTACCAGTACACAGTGGACAAGGTGGGAAATGTCAGCGGCACTCTTCATGTATGATGCACAAAACATGATGCTTTACACAATAAAATCTATTGGCTATTCCTGAGCCACACCCTAACTAATGTGTTCCTTCCCAGGGTACTTTGTGTGTCTTGTACACCCATACATACAAAAAATAATTATATGAAAGCACTTTTCAGTAATTAGAAAGGAATATGTTCCCACAAGCCAGACCTGGGGCATTACTCCCTGCTGCTGTGTGTAGAGGTAACATGACTCCTGCTCTTTCTTTCACCAGAAGCCAAGTGATCCTGCAGATCCTCTCCCACGCACGCCACTCCTGCAGGGCTGTGATGAGTCACTCAGATCACCAGCTTCTCAATGCTCAGAGTGCTTGTTTCATCTTCTTCATTTGAGCCAAAATACCCAGGGAGGTCGATCATCTGCTGCTCCGCCTCCGTTAAGCCAAAAGTAGAATTGTCATAAAAGGCAAACTCAGGGTCCAGGGGGAAGCTCTGGCACTTGTCCCTTCGATACTGGGAAGGGCTGACGCTTTGGCCTCTCTGGGAATTATCTTTGCCATTTGGGCCGGTTTCTTTCCGCCACACACCTTTGGGGTTAGGTGAAGGGCCCCTCTTACTTCGGCTGGGCTCAGGCTTCTCAGCTGCCCTCTCCTGACCAGCAGGCTGGCGATCCGTGATCAGGTCCAGCTTCCTCACTGGGGGACCTGCCCTGTTGTGGGGCTTTGTGCCATGGCCCTGTGGTTCACACCCCAGCACAGTGCTGTGGGGCTGATCCAGCTTTTCAGAAGCTGGATTAGCGTTTCTTGATTTTGGCCGTGTCCTGTCCTCCAGACCATGGTCCCATGTCCTGGTCCTGGAGTTGTAGAGAGGAGTCTGTCGGGGTGTGAGAGTGGACATGCTTCTCTCTCTGAAAGGCCTGGCCTTTTTAGTTTCATGGAAACTGGCTGTTCTTCTGAACTGCGAGTTTCTGTGACAGCCTCTCTCAGGCAAGTCCACTCTGTTATCCTGGTGCTTGAAATGACCTCTTCTTACCAAGGTTTGGGTAGGGCTCATTGCAGGATTGGCCTGTGAGAACGGAAAATCCAGCCTAGGGTGAGAACCTTCTCCCAGGAACTTGGGCTGACTGGCTGGCTGGTCCAGGAATGGAGATTTGATCCGAAATTTGTTTGCCGCTGCCTCCTCTTGGTTTTCCCCGCTCAGGGGAAGCATGGTGGTGGCACCAAGAACCGTGTCCGTGAGAGGATTCTGAGAGACATGGTACACCTTAGTGGTCTCTGTCAGGCCTTTCTTCTTCATCTCTTTCAGCTGCTGCTGTGCCAGGCGGTAGCTGAAAATTGGAGGGATTATTTTTTGGGCATTTGGCTGAAAGTTTTCACTTCCAGAGGCATCATCTTCTTGGGCAAATTGGAGGCTTCGCCTGTAGGTTAGGGGAATGTTAACAGGAGCATCCCCTCCTTCAGCAAAGCTGTCCCGTTGCTTGTTGCCTTGGCAAATGTTCTCCTCATCTGAGTTCTTCCGGAAGCCGGGGGAATGGACGGAGTTTCGTCGGACAGCGGTGCTGCACTTCTGAGCTCTGCAGAGCTTCCTCCAGAGGGTGATAAGAACAGTGGCAAAGATGATGAACAAGCACAGCGAGATACCTGTGATGGTAACTATATTATTTGCTTTCTGGTCCTCTCCTGGCTGAACAGAAGGTGGGGTGGGAGGCTGGACAGCTGTAAGAAAGAGCACACACATCTGTCAGAGTTGCACTGGCAGCAGCATTTTGGTATTTGAGGATGGATACTTCACTACCAAGGAAAAGAAGTCATTAATACAGTACAGGAAGTTGTCTGCCATTAAAATTTGTTAATTGGAGATGATTTACTACTTGATGACTTCAAACTGGCATGAACATCTACTTACTTTAAACCAAGACTGCCACAGACCTTTTAAATGTAATAGTTATTTTTTTCCTGTTCTGCTATTTCCATAAGGTATTACTGAATACCTGGAAAATGGCGGAACTCTGTTTGCCTTTCTTTATAGAGTCCATTTAGATTCCCTGTTGAAAAGTGACATAAAAGGGGTAAAAAGAATTCAACCCAGGCAAGTACTTCAGGTATCACTTTAAAATTATTTTTAGGAGAGCTTAAGTGGGTGTGAGAATTGAAATGGATTTGAAGAGAGAGGCAGCGTCAGGAGAGGCAATGCAATTTTTCTAAGCAGTCCTCTGAGGATGCTTCTATCACTGTCTGGTGCCATATTTCCAGAGGACAAAACCTTCCCATGCCACAGCAAGCTTTCAACTGAAAGTGCCATTGCTCTTTCTCCAGCATTCTACTACCATTCTGATACCCTTCTCTTGTGGACTGGAGATGGGACTTGCAACAGTGAAGAGTACTCTGCAAACCTTTCTTCACTGAGACAGTAATTAGCCACCAGGACAGGCATCCTAGGAAGTCATCACGTCCAGAATTCACAGACTGTCTGGACAATGCTCTCAGTCATATGGTTTAGCTTTAGTAGTCCTGGGAGAGCAGGGAGTTGGACTCTATGATCCTTATGGGCCACTTCCAATTTGAGATATTCTATGATTCTAACCCGTAATGTGACAATCTCAGAGCTGTCCACAGCCCTGTTTAAACCTCTCACTTGCCCATTCCACCACATTACAGATGGCTGAACCAATGACAAATTGGTAATTCTTTGTTTTGAATGAGGTCTCAAGTATTTCATGGGCAATCTTGAACAGAATACAGCATGGTAAGAAGTGGATTAATTGGCCCAGTAGCTAATTTTAGTATCTGTTAGCATTGCCCAAATTCTTCTGTTCTGGTCAGACATGAGCTCTCTAAAGCCATGAAGATTTTATTGGAGGACAAGGCTGATTAGTTGCAGTTGACAAGAGGTGGCCAAGAAGGTGTGAGCTCAAACGAAACCACTGAACAACCCTGCCCTAGTCTCTAGTTTTATCCAGAACCCAAAGCCTTCCTTTAGACTGACAGACAAGCAGCTGTAACACTTGGCAGGTGCACCTGCCTGCACCACAGCGACTGCCCAGGAACAGGAAATGTGACTGCAGAATAACAAGAACTGGACACCATGTACTTCCCATAATTCAGGAGAACACACACTCAACAGCAAGCTGGTAGTGCAGCTGTTAGGTGGGCAGGATGCACAAAGGCACTGATGAACACAGGCCAGAAGGTCTCAGGCTGCTACAGAACAGAAAAATTGCAGGGTGCTGGGCTGAGAAGGAGATCCACTTCCCTATTTCAGGGCTACCTAACAATCCCAAGTCCTCTAAAAAATCCTGCCATTGCATTAACTTTGATCTTTGTGTCACTCTGAGAGCTTGAAATCAACTTAAAGAACAAGAACACTGCCTGCTGAATCTTATAGGAGGATCTCTAAAATCTGCATTCAGTCCAATGCCCCTATGCCAGAGCCCAGAGCACTGCTGCTCTGGATGCCTGAGAGGGGAGTGAACAAGCTGACCTCAGGGAAGCAGGCAGGGCCAGCATTTGCTCTATTCAGCACCACTGCAGCAGACCAATTAATTCATTCTTCATCCTTCTCTCAGTCGTTTTTGCTTATGGATATTTTCCAAATACTCCATTCTCTATTTGTAGTGCATGCTGTGCTGCATTGTTTGGGATACAGAGCTAACAGGAAGGAACTGAGAGGTTCCAAAAAGGACTGGGTCCCTGTGGTTCACTTCTCCCTGCACCTCATTGGCCCTGCACCACATGCAGGCCTTGCTCATTCAGCCATTTGCTCCATCTGCTGGACTAATGTCTGCAGAGTTATGCTGGAAACAGAACCCGTCTGCTCCTGAAAGCTGCAGACAGCTGGAATGGGAAGGGTGAGGGTGACACTCCCAGCTTGAGATTAGGCAGTGGATGAATACTGTAAAGTCAGAGTGTCAAACCCCTCCTTGAGCAAGCTGAGATTCAATGGGATGTAACCATGTATGTGATTCTGTAAAGGCATCTGCTCCATGTGGGAGCAGGAGGATTAGAAAGCATGTGCAAGACAGAAGCGAGGTATTTCCTCCGGATGATCCCACTGCAGTGGGTGCAGGCGCAGGCCTCCTTTGCACCCGTGCTCTCTATGCATTAACCTTCTTATTAACCTAGACACCTCACTGGAACCTGGGGATTGTCCAGACCTGCTGAGTCCAACCAGACTGCCACACCTGTGTGCACAGTGTATGCACAGGATGGTTGGAAAGCATCACACACCTTTTACAGCTGCACACCTGCATGGGAGGAGTAACCCCTCTGAGAAGCACCAGAGGCATGTCACCTCCATGCAGGCAAAGCAAGGTCCACACACAAATTGTGTTTCCAGCACATGCTCTGCAAGCAGGGAACCCCCTCCAGCAAGCTCCCTGCATCAGGACTGCTCTCTGAGTACTGAGCTCCAGAGGTGGGAATGAAACTGGCTGGTAAGGAGACAAACCAAATTATATACTTACAGACATACCCCTCCAGAAGAAAGACAGAAGGCATGGGATAGCACAGCTCAACAGCAGCTTTGGAAAAACACTAACAACCCCACTGCATTTTGGCAGTGGCATTGCTGCCCACAGCAGCCTCAGAGAGTCTGGCATAGAGAAGACAACTAGAGCAGGGCTGGTTTAAACTGGGGACCCAAAGCATCTAAATTATTCCTCTCTGCTTTCACTCAGAGCTTTACTAAATAAGCAAACCCACAGGGCCAGCATTTTCAAGTCATTAAAAACATTAGACCTGTTAAAACATTCCCAGTGCTTCATGACTGCTGACAACATGTAATACCTGGTTTGATGGAATATAAGTTTTAGTATTTTCCATTCACCCAAACTTTTGTTAAATACAACCCATTTCCTGCAGTGTTCCACAACACATTTCAGTCCTGCCTGTATACTTCTGAGGCCTTCATCCCCAACACATGAAGCTGGTTCAAGCCAATACTTCCACGAAAAACACAGTCCTCTCCTCTTCCTGCTCCAGCTGCAGATTCTCTCCTCCTGCCGTCCTTTCCTTTTCAGTGGCATAAACACCACAGTGGCCACAGGCTAAACAACTCCCCACATCCCCAAGCTGCCCATCTTTTTAGCTGCTTCTATTCCAGTTCTACACACTGCACTTTTGCAAGCAGAAAGAAGTGCCTGCAAGCAGCCAAAGCAAGGAGTAAGGCCTGCTGGTTGCTTTGTAATAGCTTAAAATATCTGCTAAACTATAGTCTGAGATCCTAGCAGCCTGCACAGTTCCCAGGTATCTTTCCTTCCCCATCCCCACTCCCTGTGGCACCTGTGGGACACAAAGGCACTGGATCTTGTAGATCAGCTTTCTGTTCTCTTGGCATCAGCACACTCCATTTCAGCAGGGCGTTTGCAGAAAGCAAAAGTTTTGTACAGATTAAGCACCTGTACCGTGCTGAAAGAGGGCACTTCTCATGCCCTCAACAGTGGCTGTCAGCATCCAACTATGGTGCTGGCACAGCCTCATCCAGCCTCACTGGAGGCCACATAGCTGCTGTAATCCACCTCATAGAAGGCTCAGGTCTCTTGTATCTGCACCCACTTGCCACTCAGCAGCCATGGCCAGTTGTTACCAATAGGTAAGGGTTTATAAAAGCTTTATAAAGCCTTACCTATCAGTGCCAGCCAGCCTGCCCTGTCACAGGCCAGCAGCAATGGCAGGCTGGAGCAGGGGGAGATCTGGCACTACCACCTCAAAAACAGAACAGCAACCTCGTACCACAGGTCCCAGCTGGAACCAGCAACCTTTTTTAAGTGACTTTAGCTTTCTAGTAGGTTTCCACTGGAGTCTTTGGCTTTTACTGAATGTGTTCTGATAGCCCCAAGATCTCTCTTTCAGGACTTCTCCACTCTCTGATCATCCTGGGGATTTTAAACTGCACCCATGGCATTCAGAAATATTACGCCTTGGAGCCCTATCTCCAGTGTCCCACAATCAGACGCGTAGAGGCTCCTGCCCTACTCCATCAACCACAGGAATGTGACAGCTCCCCAAATCAGTATGACTGAAAGAGAGATGGGATGTTTCCATTTTACACTTTGCTTTTGCCAGGGCGGTCACAGCACCGGGGGAAGAGGAGAGCAGAGCTACATACACACACACTCCTCCAGCGAGCATAGGGAAGTCTCCCTCGGCGATCCAGCGCAGCCTGGTTTTGCCGGTGAGGAGCTGAGGCATTCTCGGAAGCGCTCCCGGACTCCGTCCCCACAGGTGACGCTGCATGGGCTCCAGGGCTGCCACCGGCTCCACGTTTCTACAAACACACAAGCTCACAGCAATGAGGAACGTGTGTGCCTCCTTACCTTTAATGACACAGCCATTTGTCCTCTTTTTGAGAAAAACAGCGATAAATGACCACACAATGCAAACAGCAAGACCAAAATAGCAAGCGGCATCCAGGGATGAGCCAAAGCTTCCACTTGCTGTTTTCCTTTTTTCACCCAGTTGTCAGCCTGCAACACAGTGGCCAGTCAACTGGCAGGCAGGTTCTGCCTGGAACAACAGCAAAAGGAAATGAATCCACAGATCTTTGAAGTGGGCTGGTAATTTATATATTCATCCAATTCCTGCCTGACAAACAGTGCATTTACAGCAGGATAATTTGATTGACTGAAGTACAGTTACTGCTGATTTATATGACTGTGACAGGATGATAAGCCTACAAGGCCTAATGAAATGGCAACATTGGTTCACTCTTTATTTTCTTTCCAGCACATAAGCATGTTATTGAATCATTCATCTGGCAACTTATAGGTCTCTATTGTTTTGTTGCTTATGATTAGGCAATTAACTCATGGATGGAATTTTGCATGTTCATTTATTTAACTGGAGGCAGACGCAGGTTCTAAACACTATATTATAATTTTTAATGTGTAATAAAATCCCTCTTTTTCTTAGACAACATCCTCATCCAGCGATCTCCACATTCAAACTTTACAGCAGTGAGAACCCAGAGAGGTAAAGATGGGACCATTCCTGTCCCTGTGTGACAGTGGTGACACTGAGGCAGGGCCACCACTTTAAATTCCAAATGAATGCATGAGCTCAGGTGCAATCCTAAAAGATAAAACCCCTGGGGATGCTCCTATGGGTCAGCTGACTTTGACGGAAAGAAGAACAATAGACTTCTTAACTTCGTTTCACTGCCCACAGATAAAGTAGAAAAACAGCTAAATAATTTTTTTTAAAAAGTAGACCAGGTTAAACTCTGCTCTTTTAGATAATTTATGGTGTTGCTACTGCCAACACAAGCTGTGATTTTTAATTTTATTACTGCTGCTAGCATGCCCCGAGCCCTTAACCAAGTTATGATGTCCAAGCACTAGAGAATGTTGCATGACTGCAAATGGCTTTATGATCTCACGTTTTATTGGTTGCTGTATTGTTCCTAAAGTGTTATTATTTTTAAATGTCTCTAACAAGAATAAATACAGCTGTGTTTCAATAAACATTAAATTGTAACTGCTTTGGGCCCTGTCCTACACAGTTTTGTGACCATGTCAGTGTTAATGTGATCAGCCTAAGAGGAGCAGTGGAGCTGCCCTCCTGGTGTGCAGGTCCTCACCTGCACTGCAGGATGGGGCCCCAGAGTTTGACCTAAAACTTGTGCTGCCAGCCACAGCTGCAGAGTGTATGTGGGTGCACACTCACACACATTTGTGTGCCTGCAGGCCCCAGGACATCTGCCTGGCCTAATGCAGAGGAGAGATGGGCATGGCGACACACCCTGGTGCTGCTGTGGTTCTAAGCCCACACAACATCAAGTGACCACCCTGGCTGTTTGTCACTGACTCCACCACAATACTGCAACATCCAAGACCCCAGGCTGTATTTCACTTTGTGCTCTTTGTGCACCTCTCTGCTTTCACCCCTCTGTCTCTGGAGATGGTGATGAGCCCAAAGACAGGCTGAGCTTTCAGACTCCTCCTTCAGTTTGCCGCCATGTGGGCTCCCAGTGAAGCGCAAAATGGAGCAAGTGTATGGTGTCAAGGGAAAAGAGAATCAGAGGATGCCAACAAGCAGGTAACTGAGGAAGTTTGTTGGGATAAGGAGTCCCAAAAAGGGACAAACCATGGAAAGTTTGCAAAAATACATCAGTTAGCGAGCCAAGGTATTACTGAGGGCAGGAAGAAAAAATGTTCATAATCAAGAGTTAATAAAGGGCTCATTGATACCTTCTCAAAAAGACTTCATAGTATCATATATATCATAGGATCTCCCAACAGTTTTCTTCATATGAGGATCATGAAGGACTCCAGCAGTGTCCCTCACCACTGGTAGAAAGGCTAGCTGAAGGACCTACCTCCTTGCAGACCTACAGACTCTTTGTGTGAGCAGCTTGGTGAGTTCCTGTCATAATTTCCAGTGCATGAGATAACTTGTTTCCCTCTCTCCACATTTCCTGCTCATCTAAACTTCTGTTAATTAAAGTCAGATGCAGAGCCAAGCTCAGAAAGGTTCTGGTTGCCTCCAGTGCTAACACTGGTGATAGTAGAGGGTGCTCAACAGACTCCACATTGATGCCTGTGGGTTTCAACATACAAGAACATTTAGGATGAGTAATTTCCCAACACTGACGTCAAACCTGACATGCCCATTGCTCCAGGACACTTTTCACTGACTTGGACTTTGGCTAAAGGTAGAGAGTTCCTTAGCAAAAACACTTGGCATCCATAGCTTTGGGGCTAAGAAATGTGCCTCAAACAGCAGGAGAGCAAGAAATGTTCCAGCTCCCATGAAAGATGGGAGATTTAAACTCCTGCATCTTGTTCTGCAATCCCCTGCAATTACCAGGATGTAAAAGAAAATGAAGCACAGTTATTCTCCCCCAAGGAAATGAAATTATTAACCTCCATTTAAGACAAACAGATTGAAAATGCCAGGGGAAAAACCAGAAGGTATGCACTGCAAACTAGCTCTAATAAGCATGAGGTTTCTTCAAACACAATTGAGGAATCAATTATCAATGTGAAGACATCTAACTGATGAGTTATTTTGAAATAGCTGACAGTTGGCAGATCTGCCAACATGAAAGATAAATGCAATTAACTGTGTTAATTATTGCTCTGCATAAATTTCTCCCCTCAGATTTCCATGTTCACAAGATTTTGTGCATGCAGCACTGTCCATCAGCACAGTCAGCAAGGGACACTCAGCACCATGCTTCCAGCCTGACACACATGACCAGTCTTAAACACTTCAACCAGCCCAGTGGTGTGGGACAAATTATTAATTACTGACAGGTTCGTGTAAGTATCTGTGCTAGCCTAGGGGATTGAAGGATATTTTTGGAAGCTGAGATCAGTTTTTAGGTCCTGAAAACAGCCACTCACCCTTCCATGGAAATGAAGCTTGGGTGCACTGAAATGGTGGCATGTTTCAACAGGCTAATTTGGACAACAAAAGGAAAAGGATCCTTTAAAGAAAGAAATCCTAGACTATGGCAAAATTAGAGTCTTTTCCCCACAAACAGGCATTGTTAAGAAATGGGGAGGCACAGCCTAAAAATATTTTTTTCCCAGAAGCTGAATCTGTAAGTGAGTCTGTAAAACTTGATTTATTCCTAATGTGTGGAGATGAAGTATTTACTGACACAGAAAAAGTGGATGGGGTAGAAACCAGCCCTTGCATACCCAATTCCCTGCATATACCTGTTTCTAAATAAACACCCAACCCAGGTATGGATTCAGGCAACAGAGCTAATTGGTTCTCAGAATTTCCTACTAACGAGCAGATCTGACTCACACAGTCTTATTCAGGAAGAGAAAATTTGACAGAAATTGTACATCCCTGCCTGATCTCCAGATGCTCCATTTGCTCCTCTCCTCCCTTACTGACCACTCTTTTCTTCAGAAGGTCTTTCCCCACATTCCTCTTTCCCTTATCGGGCAATAGCTGCATTTCTTATGCCCTGCCAACATCCCAAAAGCAAAAGTCAGATGAACAAAATTCATTTGTGCTGTAGGCAACTGCAAGAGACTTCAGTGTAAGTCACACCAAAGTTGAAATTAGTCTCCAGAGTTCAACTAGGAACTGGAAAAGAAAGTTAATTAACACCAGAAATATGAAAAAACACCTTTTTCTATGCTTTAGCATTACTGATTAATATTATCAGTCTTGTCCTGAATGTTTCAAGCAGGATACAGACTAGAACATGGGACAACCTTCTAAGGAGAGCAGAAGTCTCACTGCTGGGAACACTTAAATCCCAGGTGAGAAAAGCACAGGATTAAGCATGCAAAAGCACGAGCCTGCAATGCATCTGCTGTTGGATAAGATGATCTAAGAGAGTTTCCTACCTCAGACATCCCAATAATCCAGTCAAACACTGGGGAAAAAATGAGCTGCATGTTCCTCTGTGAAACAGTTAAGAGCCCATCAAGATGAATGAAGTGACTCACATCTCACTGTTAATTTTTTCACTGACTTTCACAGATTCTCCAGTTAGGGTCTACAGAAAACTGCACAAGTGCTGTCTCACAATTAATGGATGTATTCCCCACCTTTAATAGACATATTCACAGTCTTGGATAGCATAAGTTTTTTGACACTTATTCTGAAGCTGATTGCCTGGGCTCGAAGAGCTGCTGACCTGGCCCACCCAGGGCCACTGGCAGCTTTCTGCTTCCTACTCCAAGCACGAGTCAGATTCCTGCTCCAAAAAGCTGTACTAAACTTGGCCTGAATGAGGAGTAAAGAGCAGGACTGACAAAGCACCAGGAATATAACTCATGTCTGATTTATGGAAAAGAGATGTGGCAAAATCATATTTTATCTCATCATCTGTGGTTTGGATGAAGATCATTTTAATGATTTAGGAACTTTGATCATTTACAAAACAATATCTCTGCTTCATAACAATAGAGCATATGCTAAATGAAGTAAGAACTGGCTGAGTGACAGATTGGATATGCAACTGTCAACAGAAAACCATCAGTGAGTGAGAATGCATTTGGAGAGATTCCAGAGGGATCAGTATAAGGCTCAGTGCTTCCCTAGTTGACATGAAAATAAATATAAACCATTACTGAGAAAATATGTCCCTCCTGTAATGACACAAGCAGACAGTGCAGTTGTATGGAGCAACATAGGGTACTTGCTAAGTTAGGATAATTAAAGGGAAATAGATCCTAAATCAGCAAAGCAAAAAGGAAGTGTAGGAAGAAGGAATGAAAATTGCAACTGCAGGATGGCAGACTCCATACTGAACAGCTCAAGAGGAGTTTACAGGGCAAAAGTAAAGGTTTTTATGGAAAATTGCAAATGCAATCAGTGGAATGAAAGCAGAGGTAGGGGTAGAGAGAGTGCTACTGATCAAGCAGCATCAGTGAGAAGGATGTCTGAAGGCAGCACACAAAGCTGGTACCCTGGCTGTCAAATAAACATGAGTGTTTAAAATAACAGAAAGGCAGCGAAACAGAATCAGTAGATTAATCAAATCTTGAAGAAAACGTCTTCCAATTAAAGACTTAATCTTTTCAGTTTGTTAAAAAGAATACTGAGAAAATCTGGTAGAAGTGAGATGACCTGGATGTGCAAATGTCTTTGTGAGGCAAAGACAGTAGATAGGAAACAGCTATCAGAAAGCAGCAGAGTTCAGTCACCAGAGGATGAAGCTAGATTAACTTTAGTTATGAAACATACAAAGCTTCCCTTTTCAAAAGAATAAATAAATCAGAGCATAGTATTGAGACAAATTACCAGGTAAGTCTGTTTTGTGGTGTCTTCAGCAGAAGACTGGATAACTCCCTGGAGGGTAAGTGGCAGTCAGAGGCAAAGACTAGCTGTGGGGCTCAACGCCAGGGTAACTGAATGAAAAATGATGGCTCACATTGTACAGGAGCCCAGACTTGCGATTTATCACCTCTCCTGGCCTTAAACTTCAGGAAAACCAAAACAAAAATTAGGAGACTTGCAGCAGTCGTGTGTTTTGACATAAACAGCTAATGGGGGTCTGCCGTAAGCAGGGCACCTCACAGTGCCCTGCAGCAGCAGGAGGGGACTCAGGGAAGCCCCTTCCAAAGGAGCCAGAAGGCTGATGGCCATCACAGACAGCGCAGGTTTGCTCTGTCATGGCTTCAGGCTGATGTGCCCCTCCCAGAACACCCTGCTCCTTTCAAACGCTGCCTGCAGGCTTTGAAGTCGCACAGATACAGGCACAAAGTCAGATGTGCAGCAGCTTAATTAATTTCAGGTTGACATTTTATTTACAACTACATGGTGTGGCTTTGCTTTCATCGGCTTTGTAGATGCAATACTCTTCACTTGGCAGCTATTGACCTAACTCTGCTCTTCAATAGGCATAGCCTGATTCTTTCCAATGTGGTTGTAAGGATGGGGCTGCTGAGGAACCCAGGGAAACAGAGCAGACTGGAGGGAACCATTGCTTAATGGAGATGTCATCAATTAAACCAGTTAAATATTGGGCACAGTATCATATCTATACCATATGCTAATGAATTATCTGTTAGGGTAATTATCTAGATCATATCAGTGTAACATACCACCCAGGTACAGATGAAAAACTAGGATTCTGTCTTCCTTTTTCCTTGTGAATTACCTCCATTAAGAAAATAGTATGTTTTCATTTTTAGACAGACTTTCTTATGCCAGAGGAAGAGAGGGAATGCCAACAGAGAATGCAGATAGGAAGTTAAGATGAAGAGAACTATGCACTGGGTTTGGCATGTGCTGAAAATAGAGGTCATTTTTAATACAGAGAGTTAATTAAATAGCTAACAGTTTTAGAATTTGTGAAATAGCACAAAATAAGACCACATGATGCTAGGAACGTCATTAACGTAGGCTGTGTCTGAGACTCTGTGCTCTGGAGCATGTCCTACACTCCTGGTCTTCTCATGATGCCTCTCAGATACCTGTCCATGAACCTCAACAGCCATTTTTTAGCTAGAGATCCCACACTTTCTTTTCAGGGCAACCAAGGTGGGAAGGTAAAGAAAATGATGCACATTTTAAACCTTTCAATCCAAACTCTTTGAAGTGTGCAATTGGAAAAGACTACTTCATTACCTGTAGACACAAGCTGCTTCAAATGAGAACATTTACTTTGCAGGGTGTAGGCAACGCAACCCAACCCAATCCAATCCCAATTCCCTTGTGCACATATGGCTGCCTTCCACAGATGAGTGATGAGAAGGATATCTGGCTCATCTGCTTCCTCTGCCATGCAACTGTGGTTTGTAGACTGTCAAATCATGGACTGGCACTTCTAACACTATGGCTGTAAAACATACAGTTTTGGCTTCTGCCAACCAGCACTCTCTCAGACCATGCGTGATCATGGTCCAAAGGATTATATGGACCACTAGCTGTTCACAGTTGGCAGATTGCACTATTCTAATCTTTCCTATAAGGAAAGGTTTGGCTATATGAACATGGCCCATGATCTGCCAGAAGGCCTCATGGGTCAGAAAATGCACCCTGCTCAGTTCTAAGCAGCAAACACATCTCTAGAAACACTTCTTTAGAAAACTTGCCAGCTGTCCAAGTGACACAGCTGTGCCCTTCACTGTAGCCAAATCCTGACTCATCTTGCCAGAGTTTGTGCATCTAACAGGAAGAGCACTAAACTTCTACACCAAATGGGTAGAGAAAGACACCCATGTGAGGATTCAGCCCCTGCATGTTCAACACTCATGAATCACCCTTGCAAGATGCTTCTCAACTAAAAAGATACACAACTACTTAATGTTGGGCCCCTGGCTTTTACACACTTAAATGCAGGTAAGACTAATCCTACCTTTAGAGTCTCCAGTGGGCCACATCTACCACAATAGCTTCTTACCTCACTGAGAGGAACAAGTTTCATTTCCAGCCTGATGAGATAGGTACATCATTCAGAATGCCCTAAGTGGTCCTAGCTGGTACCCAGCATTAACTTAGTGCAGCCTTAAGGTACCACAGTGGCACTTGTTATCAAATGTCCTTGTGTCCTCTACAGTCTATCTTGTTCCCACCTGAGTATGACATTACAACTATTTTGTCTGGTGCAGGAGACCCAAAATCATTATCCATGTTGGCTGGAAAGAGTGCTGATTTTGGCTAAAAGAGAAAAAAAATCAGTACAAACCCATATTCCTTTGGATCAGTATACACTCCTTAACTCTTGCTGGAAAATAGCTTCGGTTTGAGAAGATGAGGAGGTCAAAGCAGTATTTGTTCTTCCCCACATCAAACAAAGTGCAGTTAAATTCTGTCCTGTTGTCTCCAGGATGAAGGATGTTTTCATAGAGCCAAGTTGTTCTTTGACTTGGATGCTTGAGAGCCTCTTTATAAACAACAATTTTTCCACTGATAGACGTGCATGGTGGAGAGATTACAAAGACCTGAACCAAAGTTTTGCATGTGTCTTCTGCAGCCACAACTAGTCTGTATCCAAATTTGTGAAGGAGATCTACAGGTCCTATGGAGGCAATGATGGAATGTGTTTCTAATGATTTCAGTAACACAGTGATGTATATTTCTTGACTGACAGGTGGGCAATCAAACTCTACCCACTGGGATCTAGACAGGGGGATTCCTTTGCTAGTTCTAATGCCCAGAGTCTCATCAGAGCATACTCTTCTGAATTCATAAAGGGTGCTGGTGAATATCACATCCAGTGAAATCACAGTCCTGTTCATGGCACATAACTGCTCATTTGTAAAAAGTCCAACCTGAAGGGAGCTCCCAAGCACCTCTGAACTCCTGTTCAAATCAATGTGAAATACAGGCCATTCCACATGGAGGGTAGACATGCTGTTTGTGCTCCACTGGGCAGCACTGCTGTTGTCACTGGGAGAGACCATTCTGAACAAGAAATCACCAGCACTCTTGAAATGGAAGCACTCAAACACCACCGTCCCCTGGGACTGATTTGCAGGAAGCTGTTTTCTTGCAATTATCTCACTGGTGCTGGCATCCAATAAAAGGATGGACACATGCTCTGCTGTCACATTACCACCACTGTAGTACTGATATTCCACAGACACTGTGTCATTGCTGAAAGCTACATGATCTGGATGCTCCAACAGGAGATACTCCACTTCGCTGAGAACTGAAAGGAAAAGTTCCACAACAGTATTAAGAAACAGACAAGTAATTGTTCTTATGGAAGAAAATAAATACTTTTAAAATGGATATTAAAAGTGGTTCTCAATCTTTTTCAAGTGAACCAAATGACAAAAAAAGAAAAGGTCTTAGCAATAGCAATTAGAGCTCAACAGCTCTGTTCTGTGCAGGGATGTGATTTGGAGCAGCTCAAAATCCACTGCAGTAACACATTCAGGAAGGTAAAAACCACTATTATACAGCGAACCACAAACCACCCAAAAGATTAACAGAAACCTTAATTTATCAGAATAGATTCTCAAACTTTTCAACTTCTTTGACTTACAGATTTTTAAACTCCACAGAGGCCAGCTGTTTTTCAGCTTCAGCTGTAATTTAGCAAAAAAAGGACAGTGGTTTCTTATACAGACAGATGAAAAATGTCCCCCAAGTTAAATAGAATAGGAAGTCTGCATGATGCTTTTTGAAGCCTTTTCTCTTGCTCTGTCTTATGAATCTTTCATTTTGCTCATTTGCATCGCAGACACTTGAGTGAAAGAGCTGAAAATAACAGTGATGGTGACTGCAGCACTTTTCTTGTCTCAGATGTGGTGCAACATGTCTAAATGACATCATTTCATTATAAATGGTGCAGTCTTTTCAAATTCACTTCTTGCATGACCATGTTTGTGCAAGTCGCCAAATTATCCTGAGACATGCTGTAACTAGTGATGATATCTAAAGCAATAAATTGGAAGATCGCATTTCCGTTCTTAGCTCAGCTACCTTCTCTGCACTGCCTGAACCTTAAGGATTTCAGACACAGAAAGGTTATCTGAAAAAATGGAAACTGCACATATCTATTCCAGATACAGAATGTGCTGTGAGACATCTTTATTAAATTAATTGTCTGGGGAAAGGCTTCTGAGTCTTAGATGGAAGGTGCCATGGAAGTGTAAAACTTCAGTTAAAGCAATCCTTTCATACATAGTATCAACTAACAATACTTTGACTTGTTAAATCTGTTACACATGTCTTAAGATTACCTCAAAGAAAGCTTTGCTGGAAAAACACTGCAACTGCCAAGGCAAGCACTTAGCAGTCAGGAGTAGCAGGACTCATCTCACATAATATTAGACGCCTACTACTCTAAGCTTCAATTTGAGTTAGTCACCTTGGATTCACTTTCTTCTCAGCAGGAAAGATTTTCAGGAAGAAATTCATCTGACTGGGTACAGACATTTACATCTGGGTGGGGTGCAGTGTGCACTAGAAAAAAAGAGCCTATTACTTGCCACCAGCTATAACATGTCCTTTAAATAACCAGCTCCAACCATATACATACATACATAAAGTCTGAGTAAAGGTGGCACGCACAGCCTTACACATATAAATCATACATATACTCTTCCATGTATGTACTATAATTCCAGCCTTTCATTTGCATTCCCACAAGACACTGCCTCATTTGGCAGATGGACAGTGCTCATTATCAGAGGGTTCTTTTGTTCTCAGTCTTCTGTTGGTGGTCCTATGTATTATTGACTGCACACCATCCAAAATCCATCCTGATAACACAGAATTATTCATTTCCCCCATGGACTCTTCTATTGTGCCCTTATTGTAGTGCTTTAGAAATATTAATGACTTAATCCTTCTAAAATCCCTGAAAAATGAGAGGAGGTCACTATTCTTGTTTAGTGTGTTAGGAACCAAGGCACAGGCATGAAGGTAAAAACTGTCAAGTATCAACTAAGTGTGGTGCCCTGTGAAAGCCAGGACCTGATTTTAAGTACAATGGTCCTTCAGACATCCAAAGCAGGATCCCGTTCATCACAGCTGTGGTGAGCACATGGCACTGCAGCAAACCTGATCTCAACTTGGACACCCAGAGAGTAAGAGACAGACATGTAAAAAGTGTCTCTTTGAATTGACCAGCAACACATTGTCCTTGCTCTTCATGTTTTGACTCTTGTCACGTGTGCCTGCCCATATTTTACAGTCCTGTTTCTACCATCATCCACTTTCAGTATCTCTTGGGTACTAGCCTAACTCCGTTATTGTTACCACAGTTCTTCAAACTCCTGCACTCATCTCTTTACCTTATAGCTCTTTTATCTTCTGCTGTTCCTTGGGCCTGCAATTAACTCCAGCACATTCCCACCTTCCTTGCTAATTCCATAAGGGAGCACAGGACAATCAACTCTTGTGTCCAATAATGTTGGGGAATTCTTGCCCTGGGCTTCAGCATGCACAGTGTTGTATGAAGCTGGCAAGAGGAGCCAGGGGGAGTTGGGGCACACTTGACCCTTCAGAGAATCTCATCTCTAAGTCATCTGCAAGGATTTACATCTGGACCAGATCTAGGTCTTTATAAGGACAGCAGAAAGCATGTCCCAGGCCACTGTGAAATCTCTAACAAAAATGAAGTTCCCACAGACGTGTTAGAGTTTCCCAGTGAAATGGCTGTGAGTTGCTGGGATATTTTTTCTTTGATAGCGGGCAAAACGATGCATTTCTCTACATGGGAATCAGCTAGATTCAATGTAGCTGAAACATTAAAGGAAAAGGAAATCAGACCATGGCAAAAACCCAGCATGAAAAATTTCAATTTTAAGCTTTAAACTTACAACAAAAACATTCAAGCAATAGTAATGAAAAGCACTGATATTTCTACCTACTGCTTTATTGTTCTTACTCTCTTTTACAACTGTCTTGACCTCCTTGCACTGTTTGTCATTTGGAATGGCTGAGACGAGGAGTAACACCACTCTGTACGTAGGGAGGAAGGACAGGAGGGCAGGGCACTGCTGTGGAGCAGTCCATCAACCCTAAGTGCAGATCACTCAGGAAGTGAGGAAAGTGAGCACTGCTGGAGGATGCAGTTCCAGCACTGCAGAGCTCTGGCTAGTGCACCCAAGCTCACAGCATTCTTTCCTCCAGTTTGGTAAATAAGAAATTTGCACTTTTGGACAGCCCACATAGGAGTTTTTCACAATGCTCCAAAAGACACCAGTCAGGAGACAGCTTCCACTGCAAGCTCCTTCAGCTGCCCTCCAGCCTACTACGTGCCCGTGACTGCTACATGCCAAAACTTCATCCCAATCGTTCAGACAGCCAGTCAGGGGCATCCTTCAATGCACATGTATAATTTTCATTGTCATTACAATTGTATCCCATTGAAAGAAGTCTGGCTGTGGTACCAACAACCTGCCAGAGGAGTCTTTGTAAGAATTCACACTTTAAAAGATTAAAAGAAAAGTCCTTGATTTCACTGAAAAGCAAGAAGAATTACTTGAGGGTGCTATTCAGGAAGTTATTTATTTTTAAGTGTTTTTAAGCCAGCTTGGGTTGCGCTGTTGGCTTGTCAGCCTTCGGTAACACAGAGCTAAGTAGAACAAAAACATCAGTAAACTGATAAGAAATGAGAATACAGTTTAGTTGGATGTTAGAGCTTTTTATAGCACTTCAGTAATTTTCCAGAGCATACTGGATCACTTAAAAATAGTCTTGCCTGAAACAGAGAACTATATAAATTAAATAGTTATCTAAAATCGATGTACACAGTAATATTCAAAAATATGTATATGCAGAACTGTTTGGAAGCAATTTTCTGAATTATGGGCTGCCCTTTAACTGAAAATAAGGTGAAAGTTGATGCACCTAAAGTTTGCAGCAGAGATTTAGCTCATTAACTGTACCTCATAATTACTTGCTGTGCGACACTCTATAAAGTTCATGAATAATAGCTTTTACCTCTGAGTGAATGTCTAGAGGACTGGCTCACCAAGAACCAGTGGATATTGTAATCATTCATCTCACATCTTGGCTCCAGTGAATTTATTACTTACCTTCACTGTGTTACTCACTGCAGTGTTTCTACCTGGGCTGGTTAGCTGTCTTATTAAAAAAAGGAATTGTACTAAAAGCCATAGACAAGAGTCTTTACTTCTACTAGAAACAAGTTCATCTAAAAGACAGCAATTCTAGGTTCTCTACATCTTTCAGGGATCCTTTGCTCTGCAGCAGAGATGGAGTATGCACAGAGGAATGAGTAGCATACCAGTCATTACTTACTATCATTTTTCTCACTTATACAAGGACAGCACACTGCATATGTTTTTGTCCATTTCCCTCTTTCATAAGACATCTTCAGCTGTTTGACACAAGAACTACCTGCTACAGCTCATTCCATAAGTGGGGATTAACCACTTCTTTTCCCATGTTTTCCATGCTGTACTTATTTCTGCAGTGCACAGTTTAATCCTTCAGCGTGGTTTGACAACGTACTGCAGCTGTCAAAACAATGCTGACTTTTAAACTAGGAATGAAATTTTCTAAAACATATTAATTGCTTAGGAATTAAGAGTCCCATTTTCAGAATTTCTAATTCACTCTGCAATAAGAAAGTAATTTGCAAACCTACTTCCTACTTAGTACATTCTTGGAAAGGATAAGACACTGTAGATACAATGCCCCTCAGCTCATAGACATCTTGCAGGTTTCTGACTTGAACTTAGGATGCCTAACTTCCCTTCTTGGCAGCTGATGGTGAGAAGGAGGCTTTTTCATTCTACACATCTCAGTTGCAGATGGGTAAGAGCTGCTTTCAATATGTATGGATTTATGCATGGACTAATCAAACAAGACTGACTGTCTCTGACTACCTGTCTAATTTTATGTGACTAAGATTGAATGAGTATGAACCTCATCCTTTGGCTTCTTATACAATCAGAGTAAAGAACACCTCTGTTGTACTCAAAAGGTCTCTGGGTGGCAGATGGGGAGCTCAGATGGGGGCTCACTCAGCCATAGGAGGTTGGCTGGACTGTAGATGCTTACACATGATCCAACCACCCAGGTTCCTTTCCTAGTAATGGAGAGAAACAGGTAGTTCTATACATATTTCCACCCATCCCACTATGGATACCTAAACCAGACCTATCTTCCATGATGTTCATTAAATATTATGAAATATAAGTCTAAAAGAGAGCAGTGTTCCAGTTACTGCTTCTAGCACAGCCAGTCCCTTGATGCTCATGGAAATTTGTTAATTTGTCTTGTTCATTTCCCTGAGCAAATTTATATCAGGAAAGAATCCTGACACTGATCTAAAGGGACAGTTTATGCAAGTTGCATTTAACTATTGCATAAGATCTAGACTAAACTCTGTGCCTATCAGTGGTGGCTTCCACAGCATCTCATTTCCACAGATCACCTGGAAACACCACCATTCAAAACCACCTTGTGAATGCACATCACAGCTTTCCCTTGACAGCTCTTATACTCACCATAGTCACAGAGCACTACTAACAATAGATTTGAAAAATCTTTCAACATATGTTTCATTCTGACCAGTGAGATCCTGGGTCCTTTTACTCCTCATGTCCTTTTTCAGCTCCAAAGTGCCAGCACGTTTTCCAAGAACACCTAAAAGTTAAAAAATTACAGCTGTGTCAACTTTGCTTCATAAAATATGAGAAGAAAGACATATCATTAATAAGTAAAAAAAATATTAATTAACTATTAATTAACATTTCTCTCATTTACTTAACAACTACTAACACTGTATCAATGCATCTGAATAAGGACAGCTACAATTCACTGTACAATAATTTTCTATCCTGAAATACAGCTCCTGAGCCAGAACAACAAAGACAGATAACAACAATTTTATCTTTGCACTGCAGGAACTGCTGCTATGGATATCTTATATTATGACCAAGGCTCACAATAGCAAAATAATGAGTATTTTATACAAAATATAACTCTGAGCTCAGGACATACTGATATTGGAGATTTATTGCTGGTGCACAATTCATATTGCCTGTCAGCTACTTTCAAGTATGAAAGCAGCTCAGCAGCAAACTGATTGGTCATCGAACCAACCTTTTGGTCATCGAAATCCCTCTTTTATTCAGGTCTAATAATACACTTAGTGATCTTACTAGATTTATAAGAGATCTATAACTGCCTTTTATGTCACTCCAACTGATCAGATGAAAAAGGTGCCAACTTCCACTTTTTCCTCCATAATTTTTTAAGTTTACAATCACTAGAGCCTTTGCTAAGCCAAGAGAAATAGACTTCTTTTGGCAAGCTTCCCAGTTTTATGTCCATGTGGTTTAAACTAGTCTTTATGAGTCTCATAACAATTAGATAAAAGAGGTTGGAAGCACAATGATAGCAGCAAAACCAAACAGTTTCCTTCAGAAATGTAAGTAGGAGGGATTCTAAAAAGAGAAATTCTACTCAGAGGCCATTTCAAAATATAAGAGTTGCTCTCCTGCATTTCACTGAGCACCTGTAGGTCAGTGTCACTGTGCTCACCTTCACACAAACATGCAAGAAAGGTCTCGAACAGGTTTACAACCTAATTTATGAGAGAAATTTGGCACTGGAGCAGGGAGAAGTTAGGAATGAGCAAAACTGTGGAGGATAATGGTAAAACATAGGAACCAAATATCATGTATGTCTTTAGGAATCACAAATAAGGTATTTCAGCAATTACGCTGCTCTGCTTGTTGAACTAAGATGCAGCAGACATGTTACTTGAAAGCTTTTTGAACTGCTCTCTGCGCCAAGTGGCTGGAGAGAATAATTTCTAAGAAGACTAGCAGCACAGCCTTGCTCAGTAAAAGCCCATTATAATAATAGCTGCACATATCTGAAAGGAATAATCATCATCTGGCCCAGGAACTTGACAGGGCTCCAGAAAGCATTAGATAGGGACAGTGATACCGCCACCACCCTCAATTTCACTTGATACGCTGTAAATTACAGGAAGACAAACCTTGTGCCTCAGGAGAGGGGCGGCTGCTGACGGAGGGCGGCGGGGAGCCAGCCAGCCTCCAGGGACAGCCGCTCCCGAGCTCCTCCAGCTGCCGGCGGCAGGCGCAGCATCACAGCAGGAACATCATTCCTTGCCTGTATCCTTATTGATCACTAATCAGTTAGTCGAAACAAGGAATCAAAGTAGTCCAAAGAAGAAAAAGCAGGCTTTGTTTAAAAAAAATAATTGTGATGGATGTCTTGGACTCTAGAGTTAAGTGCTCAAAGAAAACTCGAAGATATGTGGAATTGCTGTAAACTGCCCTGAAATAAAGTGGGGGAAAATTGCTTTGTGGGCCACTACCACGATTGTGCTGGATGACTTTAACTGGTCCTTTCCACTCCTAGCTTTCCTAGCTGCAGATTCTTCAAATGGCTTTTACAAATACTTCTTTCAGAAAGTCACATATTGACAGATGAAATTCAAATAATCCTAATCTCAGTCTAATGAGCGACACACTGCACAGAGGAAATGAAGCTATGGAAAGGAGAATAAATGCTCAGGAAAAAAGAAAAAAGCCTGTGTAGGAGAGCACTCTTGAGGTAGCTGCCTTACATCTTAATTTGCACATCAGCCCAACCAAGCAAAAAGCAGCATGGTTCATGAGACAGCGCGCCAGCGGGAGGCACAGGGACCAGACCTGACTTCTGTTCCTATTCCTGCCACTGCCAGACATAATGTCAGCCAACTGCAGCATTAATCTGCTCCCCTCCTTTCCACCCCATCTTTCACACTCCGTATTTATAGTAAAGACTTTTCAGGACAGAGACTCTTTCTAACCAAGCCGGAGATGGAGTCCAGCGCCAGAGCCCCTGGGTGTTTTGGTAACACCAATCATTTGTCACACCAAAACCTCCTTCCCTCTCACCCTTCCTCCTGTGTTATCTTGGCTCTCTTGAGAAAAGATTGTGTGCAGCGCGGGTAACACCCAGGCTAGAACTGGAGTGTTTGAAACTGTACCAAAACTAACTTCCAATTAGTGAGATCAGGTACCTCTGGAAGCCTAGCCCAGGGCTACTTCACCCTCTGCACGCCTCTGCAGCACTGGATTGCAGCAGGAGCCCTCCCACCTCACACACACACAGCTACTTCAGGCTACCAGCTGCAGTACAGCCCTGCCTTTGAACAAAGCTCCAGTTAAAGTGCTCCACGAAGCCTCCCTGAGCTTTTGCACTTTTGCTAGCTCAGTTCCAATAGCACCTCTAAAGGCAATGCTGGCCCATTTCTGGTGTAGCAGTGCCCCCCTTACTCCTCTCTTTCTGCACAGGTTTGTTCCTCTCCCCTCCTTCACTTTTCTTCCTTTTGCCTCATCTCAGTTTTGGAAAGGCCTTACACTGACCTCTAAGTTCAGTTCAGAATTTTCCCCTTGCCTCTCTATCTTCTCTAAGCCAATTTCTTTCTAGATTTCTCCTCATTTTTAGGTCTTCTCCCAAATTCTCCATATATTTGCCCCCTGCTCAAATATTTTTCCTCTTTTCACACTCCTATAAAATTGGGTTTTGATGCAGACAGTACATTTAAATGGTTTTTGCTCTATTCAGATCTTCTACCTCAAGTTCATTAACTTAATGAGATGAAAAATGATGGAACGGAGAAGGCTATCAGACTTCAAATAATTGGCTTTTTTAATTTATTGCTCTCGTGGACAAGCATGAACTGAGGCTCTATTGTGCAAAATGCAGCAGAAGCACAGCAACATAAAAAGATGCTTTCTTCTTCCAAGAGACAGTGTAATGGTCTGATTGGAAGTGGAAGACTTCCTCTCCAAAGGGAATTTGAAATGACAGATGAGGAGGGCATAAGCCATAAAGCGCTTTGGAAGCAAAGACCAAGAGGCTTGTGTGCAACGCAAATGACACAGGAAAACTTTGAGTCCCTGCTCTGCAGCAGATTTCCTGTGCTATCTTGGTCACATCTCTTACTTTTCCTGTGGCACAGCTCTCCACTGGAGACTGTATCTCACTATCTGGTATGGGGGCTACAAGAATAAATCCTCATCAGCTGTGTGGTTTGCAGGCACACAGTGTCACTAACCAGGTAAGAGCCAGACGTGAAATTTGAAATTGCACTTGCAATATCTTTTGCAAATAAGTAACAGAATAGGCTATAATACTGCCTATTAGAATCATATGTATTAATCTATTCAAAAATATCCCTATTTCCCTACATTGTTAAAACCATAAAACATATTGGGATCATTTTGGTTTTACAAAAAAAACACCCCTAAAATAAACCAAATAAATAAAAAAACTCCAAGCCAGCTGGATTTAGGACTCCTGGTATTTTTGCAGTAGTATCCAAGGCTGCAGCACAGACATGACATTTCAGACACCAGCCATCTCTTCTGAGAGCTGTCACCTGCTGATTTGGCAGTAACCACCTTCACCAAGTGCAATAGCACAGCATTCAGTGCCTACTCCCCCTTCATTAGGGAGATGAGAGGCAAATAAGCCTTGTAGTTAAGAAAGGGCCATCAGGAATTAATCAAACACTCCATGACCAAGCATGGAGTTTAATGAGAACACAAATCCATGGCACTCAAAACCTCTGTGCTCTGGAGCCTCAGTCATGCAGAGAAGTGCCACTGATGGATCCCATATTTCGCTTACCCACAAATACCCTCAGTCCCCCTCCTCTGCAAATCCCCACCAAGAGCTGAGCCCTCCCCTGCCCTAGCTCCCATCCTCCTTCAGTGACAGGGCTGTTCTTGCTCATCCCTCCTCTGAGCACAGCCCTGCTCTCTCCTTGTCCCACCAGCCCCACAGCTGCAGGAGAAGATGGACCCAGCCATGGCACAGAACCCCCCCTGGCCTAGGGCACACGGGAGAGCAAGGTGGGAGAAGGGCTTGGGAAAGGAGTGGGTGTGAGGAGTGATTCTCTTGGAACCAACCTGCCCCAGGCAGCAGCAGCACCTACCCAGGCACGCTGATGGACCCAGCAACCAGTCACAGTCTAGATATTTATTAGAATTAAGGAGGAAAAAAAATCCTTTTTAGCTGTTCACTAGTAAACATTTTTCAGTTGTATTTGCAGCCCAAAATCTGCACAGTTCTGGCTATGTATGAGAGGCTGATGGCAAAATAGGCTACAGACAGAAATGCCCGAAAGTCCCTAAATCCTCCCTACATTTCACAAGCAGCACAAACAGCAAAAAGAAATGTGTATCTGCAACATTTCCTCAAATGGATTTCTTCATATTTTATCTGTACGTTGGAAAAGAGATTAATTATTTTCAACCATCATATGCTTATTGCAATGGAATTAGGCAGCTATTGAAGTGTTACCACCTGCTGGGAATTTCAGAACCTTCCATATAATCTCTTCACTTTCACAGTAAAGAGAGAACACCTCAACTATTCATCACATTTTATCAAAATCTAATCACTGCTGACCAGCCAGAGTGGTCAGGGCCAAAAATATGCCACTTCTTGGAAGATATTTAGTTTAGCCAGGAAAGTGTCTGTGTGATGTGTGCCACAGCAGGGGGCTGGAGCTGACATCCTCAAAGGCATCTTTC